AACGTGAAAAAAGAATCCGCAAAAAAGGGACCGAAGCATTGAGGTTCTCTTGAATGTTGCAAAAGTCCCAAAAGGGTGTCCTACCTAATCAGAACTGTTGATTACTGCACAAATATCTGCAGTTTTTTTAAGAAATTATGATGGAAAAAATCTGAGTCCGACAATAACATGCCTATATGGATTATTCTATGGTGTAATCTCGATCTTTATCGACGAGAAAATGAAGAACGCTTTTATTACATATAACTGTACTTTTCCGTCATCATTTTTCATAGCAAAGGTACCCGTTAATAGCTATGCACCCAACGCGATACTTTGGAGCATCCCGTTTACCCTTTAGGACATTATGTTAGGAGAAGGTTGATGAAAGCAGAAAAGAGCCGGCGTCCTGGTTAATGTGTACCTAATTCTCCTTTGTCAACTTATATTTTCTTGGAATTCGAGAAATCGATAGACGTACAGATCACCTCTCTTCTGATTCACACAACACACACAAGGAAAGAAACATATTCGTGCGGTGATGTTTGCATACCATTCGCGTGCGGAGCTCGAAATAAAATTCGCAGTAGTTTTCCATAGAAGGGTACTTTAACACCACACCAAACTCTACCAGGGATTGGCACAAAAACAGCAGTCTAAAACGCATTGGGTAACTTTTTGGCGCAGTTTGGTGGGGGCACCCAGTAGCATTCAGTTGAGCCTGTACAGGTCACCTTGTCAAGATCTGTAAATACTTGTAAACAACTGGCTCATTTGTACCATTCCGCAGTTGCACATGGTTTACATATACAACCAACATGAAACCTGTTAGTCAATGTGAACTAGTAAAAGAAACTAGAGCAAGTGCAAACTACCCTTCCAAAGCCGAACAGCGCCAACTTTTTTGCAAGTATTAGTATCGGGTTCAAAGGGAGCACTAATAAAAACAAGTAAACGAATGGGCAAATATGTAATTTATGGCAAGAAAAGTAAAAATTAATGTTGTATTACCAAGGCGGTTGAACTGGACGTTGAACCACCGAGGCATTGGCCTGTGTGGAGGGATGTGGTGGTGAAATGTAATCATGGTCGTAGGCAGAAACACTCATCTCCGAATAGTGAGTAGATTCAAAACCCTTTGATTACGACGATCATTTATCACTTCATATATATCAAATTACAAAATCAATACATGTGATAATTAAAAACTTAAACAACATTAAAGGCGGTGATTATGACAAAACACAAAGATAATGCGGCACGTGAGCGCTTTGCCAGCGAGACGGATGAGTCATTCGGAAGTTTCTGTTGATTATATAGTCCGTCACCTACGCATTTAATAAAGAAAAAGTTTAAAAACATGGATACGGTAGTGCGTAGGTAAAAATGCCGAGCAACGAAAGGAAAATATCGTTCAGTACCAGGTGAGGGACGTAACAAAAATGAACCAGGTTCAAACCCGCGGCTAGGCCACGATATTTCAATTCAAAACCTTTAAACAGGTTGAATAAACATAAAATGACAAGCCTTAAGCCCCCATCTTGTCAGAAAACAAGCCACAGCTGTGACAACCGCATAGCACGGCAAGATGGCCGTCGGTGCGGACCACACGCCGCGCAAACGCGACACGATCCATCGCCGCGTCGCGGTCGCGCGGCGTCGCACCACCGCGCCACCGGTCTGCCACGACTGTCTTGCCGTTCTCTGGCCTTCC